GTAAAGGTGATGAGCAGGGGTTACAGTAACATAAGTAAGGCAATGAGTACATTTCTTTTTAAACACAATTAGCCCTTCCCTCATTTTCCCCTGCTTATGCCTCCCTACTCCCCTTCCTCCTAAGTTGTAAAGACCATTTCCAACATAGTGTCTAGTGAGTATCATTGTTGCATTAGTTCGCCCTTTGTCCTACTGTTTCTATGATTCCCTTTCCCTTCCACAGATCAGATAAACTAACATGCAAGACAAAGGGTACAGAAAGCCAAAGCAGAAAAAAAAAGAAATAACTGCATACAGGATAAAGAAAGAACCTCTTGTTTCCAACTCGTGGAGTTCATTTTGATATGCTTCATTATATATGGTCCTATGCACTTAGTGATTGGACTATTGTGATCCCCTAAGATACCATAGACATAGACTAGTTATTACAAATGAGGGAAACCATGAAACCTATGTTTCTTTGGGCCTGGCTTGCTTCGTTTAATATAATTTTTCCACCAAAAAACATATCCTCAAAGAAACAACCACCCCATTGATAAGTGGGCTAAAGACTTAGAGACTTCTCTGAAGAGGAAATAAGAATGACCAATAGACACATGAAGAAATGCTCAACTTCTCTGGCCATAAAAGAAATGCAAATCAAAACAATGTTGAGATTCCACCTCACCCCAATTAGAATGGCCATTATCAAGAAATCTAATAACAATAGATGTTGGTAGGGATGTGGCCAAAGGGAAAGCTATTACACTGTTGGTGGGAATGTAAACTTGTTCAACCACTCTAGAAAGCAGTATGGAAGTTCCTCAAAGGACTAAACATAGAGATCCCCTATGACCCAGCAATCCCATTCCTGGGCATTTACCCAAATGAGCATAAACAAGACCATACTAAAACCATACTAAAGTTATCAGCATGACTATGTTTATTGCAGCATTATTTACCATAGGTAGAAATGGAACCAACCCAGATGCCCCTCAGTAGATGAGTGGATCAAGATGATATGGTGTGTATACACAGTGGAGTTCTGTGCTTCTATCAGTAAGAATGACACTGCCCCATTTGTAAGGAAATGGAAAGACATGGCTTTATTTTTCTTGCCCACTGACTGCTTTCCTAAAATTGGCAGGGAGACAGGGACAGTGTCACCTGGAGCTACCTAGGCAAGGATGAATTTGTCAGAAAATATAACGTGATGGCTTCTCTAGGTCAACTTTGGGAGAACACGGACAGTTGATTGCATAGAAACTTTCTTTACTATTTTCTATACCTAAATCTGTGTGTGTGTGTGTGTGTGTGTGTGTGTGTGTGTGTGTGTGTGTGTGCATGCAGTCCTGAGCTACAACTTTTTTGCTCAGGGGTAGTACTGTACCACTTGTACCACATTTCCACTTCAGAGTTTTTTTTGTAAGTTAATTGAAGATAGGAATCTCTTGGACTTTCCTGTCTGGGCTGGCATTGAACCATGATCATCAGATATCAACCTCCTGAGTAGCTAGGATTACAGGCATGAACTACAAGTGCCCAACTTGTACATCAGTTTTGAACTATAAGTATCAAGACTACCTTAGGGTAATTAAGCCACTGAAAGGTATTTTGAGGAAAATGATAATAGAAATACCAAAAGAAATTTTGTACTAATACTGGTTAATGTGCCCATAAACATAATGAAACCATTTTCTTTGTGAATTAATTGTTCTGCCTTTTTGGGTTTGTTCTGTGTCTGTTCAATATTACCTTGATGTATTTTTGAAAATTTGGTAAGATCAGATATTTGCAATAAGCTCTAGATCTATAAGTTATATATAGCTCATGGGGCTGTGGTGTAGCTCAGTGTTACTGTGGTTTTCTAGCATGCGTAAAACCCTGGGTTCTGTCCTAACACTTACGACAAAGAACTTACGAATTAAAAAAAAAAACTCCCACCCTCCATAACCCTTTCTTTCACATCATTTTTCCCTTGTTTGTTCCTAGGATGGCCCCGATTCTGCTGGAGGAAACCGGACCAAGCAGGAGAGTGCATGGATATTCAGGCTGTGGTACAGCTTTGACCACAAGTATCCTTTTAAGCAGCATCTTCTGTGTTCAGTTGTAATCTGATTATTGTGCTGTTGCTGAATAACTTCTGGTGCTCAAGGAAAGATGTGTGCTGGGATAGATATGATCTATCCTCTGTTGGGACACATGTATTATTATTTAACCACTGTGGTCCTGGTGAGCATCTCTCTGGCCAAGATGAATGTTTTCATGTCATTAAAATAGCCAACTTCAACCTAGTACACTCACACAGCCATTGAGAGTTCTATGTCTAGGGGAGCTAGCTATGCCTTTGTATGTGAGTTAGTTAAAAATTACACAGTGAGCCATGCTGTGGTCAGGAAGGAAAGGAGAACTTGGGCAATTCATCCATGTGGGAAAGATCATTCCTTTTGGTTGAATTTGGCCAAATCTGATCTTAATAGTGGCATAATAGGACCACACACAGGGTACACCCTATCCTGGTAGATTCCCAGATGAAAGTTCAAAAAAGTTAAACCTTCATAATTATTAAAACTGACATGATGGTCAAATGAGATTTTGAGACACTGAAAATATTAAGTCTGGCTACCAGTGTCTCACACTTGTAATCAAGGCTGAAGGCTTAAAGGATCTCAATTTGAAAGTACTCTAGACAGGAAACCATGAGACTTATCTCCAATTAATTACCAAAACAGCTGGACAATAAGGTATAGCTCAAGTGGTAGAAAACTACCCTTTAATGAAGAAACTTAAGGGACATTACCCAGGCCCTGAGTTCAAACCCTAGTAACAGTACAAAAACAAACACAAAGGAAAATGTCAAGACAGTTTTTGAAACTGTATAGCCATTATATAACTCATAGTGTTCTGCAAGTTACAAAATGAACACATTCATTTAACATTAAACTGATCAATAAATATATTTTAAATTTTAGCATCATTTTAAAGTTTAATCAGTTTTCAGTTTTATATACACGAGATTATATAATTGTATGTGTTTTAGTGTCTGGTTTGTTTAGGTGATTCCTCCATCTTGTATCTTGCTTTAGTTCATTTGTTTTCACTGTGGCTCAGTATTTCATTGTGTGAACGCATCATAATTTATCATTCCATTGCTAAAAAACATGGCTTATCTATCACATAGAGCTACTATGAAAATTACTGCTATGAATATTATTGTACCTGTTTCTGATGCACTGGGCATATATTTGTGTTGGGAATCTACCTAGGAGTAAAATCACTGAGGAGCATAGCAAATATATGAATTCATCTTTAGGAAGTAGTGCTAGTTTTCCAAAATGGTGATACTACTCCACCCAATCATCACTAGTATATGAGAATTCCAGTTACTGGACATCTTTACCTACAGTTAATGGCTTTCTTGTTATTGGGTTTTGTTTTGTTTTTTTTTTTTAACTCCAGCTTTTCTAATGCATTGATACAGGCATTTAACTGTGGTTTTTTTCACTTGTATTTCTTGGAAGACTGATGGAGTTGAGTACCTTCTCAGATATTTACTGGCTACTTGATATGTCCCTTTATGTTTACCTGTTTAAGTTTCTTGCCTCCTTTTCCATTGGGTTATCTTTTTTCTTTCTGATTTGTAAATATTCTTTATGGGTCCTAGATATGAGTCTTTTGCTGATTATATGTGATAAAAGGAAAAAACACATCCTTATAGGGATGCCAGCTTTCCCACATCATTTTGACTATGGGTCTCAGAAGTGGTTGCCATAGTGGGATAGGTACTGAATTTGTGGTGGGCTGAACATTTGACAGCATAGATACTCATCCATTGATAACACCTAAGCTCTCTGTATATCTGCTGACCTTCACCATAGAGCAGTAATCTCAACCAAGAGCCAGTTTGCTTCTTGGGGAACATTCGGGAACTTTTAGAGACTTTTTTTATCATTACAAGTTGGAGAGTGGAGGATAGGTGCTCTTCCATCCAGTGGTAGAGGCCAAGAATATCTTTCAGCATTCTTCCATGCGTAGGTAGTGGCCCCTGGTTAACCTCTAAGGCCCTATCCTGTCCCACTGTATATACCGTGTGCCCTCTACATAGAGTGATTTCAAAGGGATATACTTAGAGAAAGCAAAAACAGAGAGATCCTTAGGCTTCAGCTCTCCACTCTAAGAACCCAATCTCCCATCTAAGACTTCAACTTTGTCAAAAGCTCAAGTATTGATGGCTATTAATCCAATCTCTTATTTTCATTTGTTGTAGATTTGAGTCTCACTTATGTAGCCCAGACTGAAGTGGAAATTGTGATCCTCTTATACCTCACCCTTCCAGTATGGGGATGGGAGTGTACAGATATGTGTCTGCCAACACACCTAGTTTAATTAATCCAATGTTGTTTTAACTGACAGTTGGAATCATCACTAATCTGAGAGTTTCTAGTTATCCCATAAGGTTGATGGGGCACATTTTAATCTCTGATCCTTGATGCTGCAGGTGACAGTTATTTCCTCTGTGTACCCTGGTATAATGGGGGGGGCTTTTTTGCCAGTTCTGGGGCTTGAACTCAGGTTACTGTCCTTGAGCTTCTTCTGTTCAAGGCTGTCACTCTACCACTTGAGCCACAGAGCCAATTTTGGCTTTCTCTATGTATGTGGTACTGAGGAATCGAACTCAGGGCTTCATGCATGCTAGGCAAGTCCTCTACCACTAAGCCACATTCCATCCCCTGGGAAAGGGATTTTCATGATCATAGAATGTCAGACAATTTATTACTCTATTCTTTGGGATTTTTAAACAGGTATTTTTTGCTGGTACTGCGTCTTGAACTCTCAGAGCCTTGTGCTCTTGCTTAGAATTTTTATTCAAGGCTGACACTCTGTCATTTGAGTCACTTCCAGTTTTTTGCTGGTTAATGGAGATAATAATCCTATCCATTTTCCTGTCTGGGCTGGCTTTGAACCATGATCCTTAGATCTCAGCCTCTAGAGTAGCTAGGATTACAGACATGAGTCTCTAGCATATGGCTATAAACACATTTTCTTGTGTGTATGTTTTCTTTGTAGCCATTTTTCCTTAATTCTTTTTTAAAGTTACTTGAAGCCCATCCTCACTCACAGTGGTCCACCACTAACCACCACTCTCCCTGCCTGGTGTGGCTTGCTGGCTCGATGTCTGACCAGTCCCCAGGTATATGATGTAAGTAAAGTGTATCAGAATTGTATTTATGCTTACCATGCCAAGATTGTCTCTTCCTAGGAAGAAGAAATCCATTGCAGTAAGATCCCCCAAGTTCATAAGTTTTGTGTTACAGCCAAGTTCCATATGTTTATAGATTTTATAGTCTAAAGGACTTCCCAACAAGGACAAGTGTAGTATTAGAAAGAATGCTGACTTTGGCATCAGAACAGCTAGACTGGAGTCAGGTGCCTGTGGCTCATGCCTGCAATCTTAGTTTCTCAGGAGAGTGAGATCTGAGGATCACAATTCAAAGCTAGCCTATCTAGAAATGTCAATGATACTCTTAGCTCCATTAACCAATAAAAAGCTAGAAGAGGAGATGTGGCTTAAGTGGCAGAGTGCCAGCCTCCAGTGAAAAATACAAGTGAGAGCCTAAGACCCTTGAATTCAGAGTTCAAGGCCCAGTACTAGCACACATGCACATACCCTCCACCTTCCCCCCCCCCGACACACACACCAAAAATAAAACAAGAAAGCATTGGAATTGAAGCCCTGTCAGGCCTTTGAAGTGCTCTGGACCTGAAAATGGAGGCTGACTGTGAGCATTATACACTGAACTACAGAGCATTTCACAGATACAAGTGTTCTTTTTCTAAATGGTTTATTTCTGTTGATGTGGTCAGATCATTTCTGTCCATTCTCTTATGTAAAAAAATGGATACTTCATAGGACAAACGAGTACCCCATTGTGGACAGGTCTGTGCAGGACCAACTTGAGCTTATAATGTGGGTTGCAAGAGAGAACAGGCAGCTGCCAATGACATGGAAGGAGCGGAGGGATGGCAGAGCTTCCCCCTTAGCATCGCTCTTCCACCGCCTAATCATCTTGTCATCACACAACTATTATGCTCTAGAAAAAAAGAAGTTTTTAGGTTTGTGTGCAGCAAACAGCCCCCAGAGGCCATGAAGAAGAAGATACTATAGCATTTTAGTTGAAACTCCAGTATGGTATGAGTTGTCCATGAGCCCTCACTTAGTAACTGAAAGAATTGAGACCCTATCAGAGATCTTCAAATATCAGATAACCTGCAATTTACCTGCACAGTGATGTGAAAGCATACCACTAAGGCTGAGTCTGTGGGGAAAAGGAGCTTTAACATGCAAGTTCTGAATAGGTTGGGGTGAGGAAGAGGGGTCAGGAGATGTGGCATTCATTCACAAAGGAGACACAAAGTGGAAGAATTGTGGATAGCGTAGCAAGCAAGGGATATAGGGCAGAAAGGAAGGGCACCCACATCGGAACAGTAGGACGAACTGGCTTATACCTGTAATCCTAGCTACTCAGGGAATTTGAGATCTGAGCATTCTATTTGGAAGCCAGCATTGACAGGAAGTTCTGTAAAACTCTTTCATCTCCAATTAACCATCAAAAAGCTGGAAGTAGAAGTTTGGCTCAAGTGGCAGAGCACCAGTCTTGAGTGAAAACTTAAGGGACAATGCCCACAGCCTGCGTTCAAATATTAGTGCTGGCATATAAATAAATTAATACATAAATAAAGTGAAATTCTTAGGCTACTTATGCTAATTGGGGATGGGACAGTGCTGTGGCTTAGTGGTAGAGCCACCTACTTACCACATGCAAGGTCTTAGGTACTTTCCCCCCCAAGAATGAGACCTAATAGAATGATGAAGTCACCTCTAGAAATGCTCCTTTTGTAACATTCATGATAAAACTTTTTTAATATATATTTTTATTGTAAAGATACTGTACATGGAACATTCCTCAATGTAATAAAGGCTGTGTATGATAACTTTTTTGTGTACCAGTACTCAGGGCCTCACACTTGCTAGGCAGATGTTCTACCATTAGGACCATACCTCCAGCCCTGATAACCTTTTAATCAAGTATCTGTTAGCCTAAACAGTAGTTCTAGTTATATTTTATAAGCGAAAGATACAAACCAGCAGAGAAAAGTTTTGTAATTTATTGTTTGCTACTTAGCTTTCTTAAAAAAAAAGAAAAGCCATGTGAAGGCTGGGAAGGTGGCTCAGTGGTAGAGCACTTGCCTTGCATGTATGAGGCCCTGGGTTCGATTCTTCAGCACCACATAAGCAGAAAAAGCCAGAAGTGGCACTGTGGCTCAAGTGGTAGAGAGATAGCCTTGAGCTGAAGAGCTGAGGGACAGCGCCCAGGCCCAGAGTTCAGTCCCCATGACCGGAACCCCCTCCCCCCAAAAAAGTGTCTCTAAAAAAAGCCATGTGAATTAGAAGCTGGTAGCTACTCAGGAGGCTGAGATCTGACTCTCTAATTAATAAACAGAAAAGCAGGACATAGACCTGTGGCTTAAATGGTAGAACATTAGCCTTGAGCACAAAAGGTCAGGGACAGTGCCCAGGCCCTTGTTCCAGCCCCTTGTCTGGGGCACACACACATGTGCGCGCACGCACACACACACACACACACACACACACACACACACAAGAGCATTTACCATTGTGAATGCTGAACAATTCACCCAGTCCAGATTCTGTTGAAAGTGGCAGTGTGGGCTATGTGGAGACGTGCTATCAGTGATGACTATACATTGCCACTTCTCCTAGTAATGAAACTCTACCTAATTACACCTTCAAAATCTTCTTAAAGTGGCATGGTGGTGTGTACTTGTAATCCCAGAACACACTTGCTCATAGATGAGGAATATGTGGAATAATTGGGATCAGCATAAACACAGAGCATCTAACAACCCTATTTAAAGTGTTTTCCTCACAAGTTCTGGAGACTATGCAGGATTTGCTTCCCGGAGTGATACTTGGGCTCCAAATAGCCAACCTGAGATGGGATGACTTAAGCTACTGGCAGGAGTCACCCTCGGCGACTCAGTTGCTGCCTTTTTGGCTTGGGGTACTGTCTAAAGTGCCAGCCAGCTCCTGGTGATCCTGTCAGCTAGAAGCTGAGGGAGGGACTGGGTTTCACCATCTGCATGTAGCACTCATTAAGCTGTGATTGAGTTGTGGTTTTCCACTGGGCTCTAAGATGTCCTTGCTTTTCAATGACCTATATGGGCTGCTGGCCTCACTATATAGATAGAACAAATCAACATCCAGTCTTGATTTCTCCTGCTGGCTAATTGCAGCCCTGTGATCACCCCACTAGAGTTCATGTCCTGGTGCTATGTGAGTTTTTCTTCATTAACAAGATGGCCCTATCTGTCCCTTTGTAGCTCCAAACCTTGAAAACAGTAAAACAGACAAACAAACAAAAACATAACAACCATCTCCCTAAAAATTGGGAGCTGAAAATAAAAATAACGCTGAGAATACCACCTTACCCCAGTCAGAATGGCACATCTGAGGGAAGTTAAGAGGAGGGCACAGAATCAGAGGGAAATGGGAAAAAATACAAGAGGGGCCCATTAGCTGCACTGGACATTGACAAAAATAAACTAAGCAACTCAAGGGCAGCAATGGGAGGGAGGACATGAGAGGGATAGAGGGAACAGTTAACCTTAAGCAAAAGAAAAGAAATGTACATACCACCCAACATGGAAGAAATAGTGTACTGTCAAAGCTTGTAGAATTCACAAACTTTATAGACCAAGATAATGACAATTTGCCTAGTGAAGTTTAAAATATGTTTGTGACTTTAAGTATTACTATCTTTCAATACTGTGAAATTTATGTAATCTCAATAAAAATTATTTAAAAATTGGGAGCTGAGATCTCTGGAAGAGATACTTCAACAGAGACAAGAAAAACATTGCTTAGCATAAGGTGAATAGAAGTAGTTTGAAAGGATGACTTGTTTGGAGCTGAAAACTCAGTAGGCTGCATGATGTCATTTGCTGTGGAGGAAATTAGCATAGAACACATGGAGAGTTTCAGGACTTGGTAAACACGAGAGGAGGGACTAGAGGGGAATTTGGAGGAGTTTTAGTTGGTGCTATTTCTGCCTAACAGTAGGGTTTGCATATCATCAAGTCCTGCACCCTGCCTCATTCCAGTGGGCAATTGAGAAGAATTGCTTTGCTCACCTGTTAAAAGTGCCTGAGCAAGCCGGGCGCTGGTGGCTCACGCCTGTAATCCTAGCTACTCAGGAGGCTGAGATCTGAGATGGCGGTTCAAAGCCAGCCCGGGCAGGAAAGACCGTGAGACTCCTACCTCCAATAAACCACCAGAAAACTGGAAGTGGCGCTGTAGCTCAAGTGGTAGAGCGCTCGCCTTGAGCTGAAGAGCTGAGGGACAGCGCCCAGGCCCAGAGTTCAAGCCCCACGACCGACAAAAAAAAAAAAAAAGTGCCTGAGCAAACATTAGTTAAGTGGAGTCAGACTGTGTGGAGAAGATGCTATCACTGACAAACAATGCAGAAGCAAGCATATGTTTACCATCTGAATGTATGCAGACATGAAACTCAACCCCAGTACCCTCCCAGCTTCGAAGCATGTACCAGGCATTCATGTAGTACAGCTCCAAGTACAAGCAGAAAGCCCTTATTCAAAATGCTTAGGATCAAAAGTGTTTGGGATATCCAGTTGTTTTGAGGGTTTTAAATGTATATGCAAATTTAGATATCCTGGAGCTGGACTAGAATCTAAACAAAATGTATTCATATACTATGTATATGTAACATAAAGTTAATTTATATAATATTTACAATAATTTTGTACACAAAAACCAAAGTTTGTATATATTGAATGGCCAAATTTGGGTCATGTTGGTACTCAAAAAGTTTTGCATTTTAAACTGGGTGCCTTTGATTCATTCATGCCCATAATCCTAGCTAGTTTTAGAAAGCTAAGATCTGAGGATTGTGGTTTGAAGCCAACCTTGGAACAAAAAAAGTTCATGAAAGTGTTATCTCCGATTAACCAGCAAAAAAGCTGGAATTGGAGCTATGGCTTAAGTGATAGAGTGCCAGCCTTGAGCACAAATCAAGCTCTGGGACAGTGCCCAGGCCCTGAGTTCAAGCCCCGGTACTAGCACACAAAACAAATTTGCACACTTTAGAGTTAGGATTTTTTGGGTTAGGATTAGAGATGCTTGACCTCTACAAAGTGAGCAGCTTTCAGGAAGGTGATCACTTCTCCTTTGATGGTTTATCATCTAGCAGGAGTGTCCATTGTCTCCCTGGAGAATATGCACATGGTCTTGAAGGCATGCTGGAAGGAAATAGAACAAAACAGAGCAGTTTTCCAGAGCACAGTGTTTACACTGTGTGTATGTACCATTTGATTATTTGACAGACCTCAGAGCAGCAGAGGAGTGATGTCACAGCCCTCCCTGTGTTGTGCTTGTGAAACCCATTGGTAGTGAAAGGTTCCATCTGACCTCCTGCTATCTCCTTGCATTCTACCTGGTAACTACTGGTAGTAGTTCCAAGTGATCATGACCTTGTTAATGGCTGCTTTGTGTAACTTTGTTTTTTCTACAAGTACTTCTTAGCCTCCGCTGCTATTCTAGTCCTTTTCCTAACCAGGTGCTTCTTCACATCCAGCGTGTGAGTGAAAACAGACAAGCAGCACAGAATTGCACTGTACTTTCTGTCAGTGGGAGCATCTCAGGTTTTCTTAGCTCAGGCCTTCAGTCAGTCACAGAGCTCCCTCAAGTTACTTACCTACCTGAGACCTATAGGGGAAGACTCACACAGGTTTTCTTTGGAGACAACAAAGGGGAAAGGGAGGGAATCCTAGCCCCCTTCATCACTGAAGTTGATTCAGAACATATTTTTTTTCTTTTTTCTTTTTCTTTTTTGCCAGTCCTAGGGCTTGAACTCAGGGCCAAAGCGCTATCCCTGAGTCTCTCTGTACTCAAAGCTAGAGCTCTACCACTTGAACCTCCATGCCACTTCCAGCTTTTTCTGGTAGTTTATTGGAGAGAAGAGTCTCATGGATTTTCCCACCCAGGCTGGCTTTGAACTGTAATAATCAGATCTCAGCCTCCTGAGTAGCTAGGATTACAGGCATGAGGCACTGATACCTGATAGGACAGATTTGTTTTCACATGTAGTAAACAAGGTAGTTTTAGAATGGTATGTGTAAGGCAAAATACCTTCCCAAGGAGAATGTACCAGAACCTGTTTGTAACCTCTGCCCCCAGACCTTCCCTAGCTTCCTTTGCAGGTTAGGAAGCTGGAATCCAGCTGCATTTCCTTCCTTGAACACTAACTGTGCCCCATCCCAAAGCCATCAGATACTTGAAATCTAACCTGCTTCCTTCATTCTAAATCCTGGTTCTAGTAATAGCACCTTGTGCTAACACTCCAGTTACAATTCAGGGTTCATGCTGGAGGCTCAGCACAGGCAGGTTTCATACAGTCCTGGTTTGGGATGAGGCATTGAGTTGGATTGGGGTTGGGGTTGGCTCTAGCCCTGGAAGATCTCAGTCTCCTGTCTTTGGTGTTGGTTGGTTGTGTCTTTTAGAACCAAGAGCCACTACGAGAAGAAGACTCAGATTTCATCCTCACCGAGGGTGACCTCACCTTGACCTATGGAGACAGTGCAGTGACTGCCAATGGCTCCTCGGGCTCCCACACAGCCTCTACCAGTCTGGAGGGTAGTCGGAGAACCAAGGGCAGCTCAGAAGAAGTGCTGGAGCGAGACCTGGGAATGGGAGACCAGAAGCTTTCAAGCCGGGGCACACCTCTTGTGTTTCCTCTGCAGGAAAATGCATGACTTTCTGCCATCCCTAAACCCTGAAGTGATAGGGCGAGGCCCTGAGGGGTGAGGATGGCTATATCCCCCTCTAGTGTGTTTGAGTGGGGGCGTTGATTGGATTGAACAAATGCTTCTGTTTTATTGGGATCTGATGCTATCTTAACATTCAAAATTTAACCCAAGGCGCAGATGGTGAAGCTAAAGTGTCTCTAATTTAAGACAAATGCAGACCATACTCCCAGTTTTTCACATCGTCCTACTGTTTTCCAAGTTAAGCAAACAAAGTAATAGCATGCTTTAAACAGTCTCTTAATTTGTCTGCCCGCAGCATCTGAACACATAGGGTGGCAGAGCAGAGACAGGGCTTCTGCCTGGCCACCCATGAGACACTCCAAGGTCTACCACTGTGTGTCTAGCTGGCTCCAGGATATCAAGTTATGGGAGAACAGGATACAAAAAACTCATGGAGGAAGGTAATTGAATTGGCCTTCCAATGATTCTGAGATGCTGCTGTTAGACAGGACAGAAAGGACTATTGGATTGGAGACTGTGCTTTGAAGGCTGTGAGCATCTCCTATCAGGAGTCCTAGCCCTAGCTACCTGTGTTTCTCCTAACAAAATGGTCATTAGAAAAGGTATCTATGAGGCATTGCAAAGCAAGGGCAAGATGTATTGTTCCTCCTCTGGAAATTGCCATGAAGAAGTCACTAAAATGTTCAAAACCAAAGGCAAATAGTATTATACTGGTGGGTTTAAAAAAAATCAATCTGAGGACAGGAGATATTTCAAAAGTGGTAATGGTATAATTGCAGAAATGGTTCAACTTCTGAGGGCTACCATGAGAGCTGCTTGTCTGGGAAATGGCTAAAGAGAACTGAGGTATTGTCTGTGGGGGTAAAGCTATCACCATGTATAGGAAGCTTTTACCTGGGGCAGAGAAAGCAACAAGGGACTGAAGAGACCATAGGCTAGTTTTTGGAGGAAAGAAATCTCATTGCAAAAAAAAATATTAACTTGCAAATAAAATACAAGCTAGGAATCTTGACTGGGTAGAATTGCAAACTTTGAATGATGCATGCATGCAACTTCCCTGGCCATGTGAGAAATGAGAGGCAAAGCAATCAGTGAGCCATAGGGCATTACTCAACCCAGCAGAAAGTTCTCTCTTCTATCAGATTAGGAATCCAGGTGTCTTGATACCATGTGCCATGCCCAGAGGAGTCATTTTCTTGTTATCTGAAGAGGCTGGCTGCTTTACCAGCTTAATGAGGGTGTGTATTGAAATCTAGGTTTGTAGATTGAGCTCTTTCTCGATGAGCTGTTCTGCCTGTTCATACATGCAATCAGCAAAATACTGAGAACTGTTAGGGAAAGCTTGAGTTTCTCTCTGTCTCTGTGTTGGGCAACCAGTTTCTAAAAACATGCTTTTCTAACTTGTGGGCATTTTTCTTTATGTTGCAGACAAAATAGTTGTCCCACTTTAGTAAATCATAATGAAATCAGCTCCTTAGATACAACTTTTAGTATTTAATATTTTTTTTCTTTTTAGAATCTCACTGTGTTGCCCAGACTAGCCTCAAACTGGACTCTAGCAATCCTCCATTTTCAGTCTCCCAAGTAGTTGGGACTATAGTAGGTGCCAACTAGCACCCTGCTAAATGATTATTTTCAGATCAAAGCTTCATAACTTCGTGTTTGAATTGATAATGTATGCAATTAAAAGAAAAATTTATTAAATGTTCAGCCATATGAAATTGCTGATATTCTATTATTTTTTTAAAATCAGAAAAGACAGTTTCATATCTATCAGTATAATAAAATGGGATGAACTTTTTTTCTACTTTTTTCCTTCCTAAAAAGTCTATTTTGATTTTTGTGCTTATCCATGGACTTTGTAAGTGTGAAGACAGCTGAACAATATACCTGATCTCATGAGGGCTCAGGACAGAGAAGAGATTTTTTAGAGTCCTGGAGGGAAGATTCTGAGGAAACAGGGTCAGGTGGGAGACAACAGCTGCCTGGCTTGGAGAAGCTAGCCATGTACATGTGTGCTCCAGCCCAGAGCCAGCCCAGAAATATTTATTTTAACAGTAATTTTCTCAATAATGATCCGCCATAGTATAAGCCTTAAAAAGTGGGACTTCGGGCTGAAGGCTCAGTGGAAGAGTGCTTGCCTTGCTGCATGAGGCCCTGGGTTCAATTCCTCAGCACCACATAAGCAGAAAAAGCTGGAAGTGGCGCTATGGCTCAAGTGGTAGTGCTAGCCTTGAGCTGAAGAGCCAAGGGACAGCTCCCAGGCCCAGAGTTCAGGCCTCACGACTGACAAAAAAAGAAAAGAAAAAGAAAAAAAGTGGGACTTAATTGTTTTTTTTTTTAGATGTACTTTTTCTGTTGCCCCAGAATGGCCTTGAACTTGCAATCTTCCATCCCCAGCCTCCCAGAACAGCTGGGATTATAGGCATGCACCACTCACTCTAGTATTTTTTTTGAAAAGATGGAGGAATAGGCTAATTCGCACTTTGACTGGGACTTTATAAAGCCTTGGTTATGCTGCTTGCTTGATTTCAAAGAGAAAAAAAATGAATAGAAAAACTCTGCTTGTAGTCATAGGGAAAATGCAGGCAAGCAGACTACACCGTCTTCATGTCAGGGCTTAACTGCCAGTTTTAAAAGCCAAAGCTGCACTGTAGATTAGTGGCAGATGTAGGAGACCCTAGTTTCATCCCAGCAACACACACACATGTATACACTCACTCACTCACTGCAAAGGCGTTTACCATTGGAAATTTTGGGTTCAGTTGCTTCAGGGTTAGGCCTGGCATCAATGCTTTATTTTTTGTTTTAAAAGTTCAGGAGCGCAGGTGCAGCCAAGGTTTATAAATGCCTTTTGGCTAGAGCTATTAGTGGTCCCCTCCTTGTCACTTTAGTTAGAAGAATGGCCTAGCAAGTTAATTGTTATGTTCTAACTGTTGCAATGGTTACTCACAGGAACCTACAGGGTAGCAATCAATAATACAAACTAGACAGCTGTTGGAGAGTTTCCTGCTTAATCTTTGGGGGAACACTGGAAAGTACCAGAGCCTTTAAGGGTAGAGAAGGGTGACTCACATATAGGTGTGGGGAAATTTAAAACTTGTCATCTTTGTTATGGTTGTTTTAGAGAGAAGGGCTTTTGGCTTAACTGGGCTGCTATCTACTCAAACCTGAAGCTTTTCCATCCAACATGGAATTAGGAGTCCCTTTTGTGGTCAAATGTTGTCTCTTTTTGTCCCCAAGCACAAATTTGTGTTTTAATTCTTCAAAATATGGAGGACTTGCTACAGAACAGGTGGAGGTAGTCAATTTGTTGTCCCATCGAGACAGAGTTTAAGCTCCAAAAGAGAGAAAATAAAAACCCCTTTTAATAATACTTTGTGGGAATTATAAGGAAACTGAAGCTTTCCTAGAGAAGGAATTGTGGATTGAAGGAAGGTTGCATGTCTTCCCAGGAAACAAGCACAAGAAGGGCATCCAGGGGACAACCTGGGATGACCAGACAAATGAGCGTCCATGCCTTGAAGCCAAACTATCACACTGTGACAACAAATGTCTTATCCAGCAAAGAGCAAGGAACTTCTTAGGCCATGTTCTTTAGACCTCACATGCCTTGTGGTATGGTTGACAGATGAACACTCAAAATATTATCTCAACTGTCTATAAATATAAACATTTCCGTCCAGGGCAAAGAATAGAATTCCTTCCAAAACCAAGTCCTGCCCTCTACCACATCACCTCATTCTTTTTTCTTGAGTGGGAGTTACTGTAATCATATCAAAGTATTTAAGTAGAAGCAGTGATTTCCAAGGACAGAAAAAAATGCCACAGGGAGAGGCATCTGAACAACTCATCAGAGGTGCCAATCATGTACACACCTGCCTTGAACCTGGGGTGAGTTCTAAGGAGTTTGTCCCTACCTACTATGAAATGCAGCCTGCAGTGCAGCGCTGCTGGAAGGCAGCTTCCTGATAGGTAGGTAAGTGTAGTACTTCTTTATGCCACAGGAATGGGCACTTAACAGATTTGCACCTACCTTTTAATGATGTCAGGATGACTTAGGGCAGGGATGCAGCAGCCAAGTGCATTAGACTTGTACCCTTGACCTCTGATGTCTTCTGCTATTTTGAAGTGATAATCTGGCTTACAGGTACCAACTGCTACATTCTGATACCCTCAGCGAAATGAACCTAGTGAGTAGTCAGAAGTCCTAGTTTGGAGACAACCTCTAGGTAAGATTTCATCATTCCTCCTTTAAACCTACTGAGAACTGTAGAAGCCCTGGCTAGTGTCAAGCCAAGAGCCAGTGGCTCACACCTGTAATCCTAACTATTCAGGAGGCTGGATCTGAGGATCACAGTTTGAAGCCAACCCAAGCAGAAAAGTCTGTGAGACTCTTATCTCCAATAAACTACTCAGAAAAAGCTGGAAGTGGAGCTGTGACTCCAATGGTAGAGTGCTAGCCTAGAGCAAAAAGCTCAAGGACAGTGCCCAGGCCCTGAGCTCAAGCCCCAGGTCCAGCACAAAAAGTAAATAAAGTAGGACCTAGAAAGAAACCATTTTATTCCAGTTTCAATTTCCATGAACCTAAAAAAATTAGCAAAAGCATCCTGTTTTCTCACCCAGTACTAGCAAAACTTGTAACAAGCAAAACCAAAGTTTTTGATGTTCATTTATTTTCCTAAGCAGGGTATACTAGAACCATGGCCCAGATGGTACCCAGGGAGAACATGAAAGAGATGGGTCTGGCTGCTGGGCTGCCTTTTGCAAAGGTCTCAAATGGACATAAGAGTGTGCACATGTGGCAAAAGCCCACTTCTTGTTCTAACAGCCACTTAAAAAAGTTAAAAGGCTAAATTTCCAAAAGTTACAGGCAACTCTCAACTATCAGCCAGTGAAGATTTGTCTGGGCCTCTATGTGGGAGGAACTCAGACCGAAGAGAAATTGTAAACAGCATTCAGCATTTGCTGTCTAAAGCACTTTTGAAAGTTCCCATCCAGGTATGACTGGGTGGCCAACTGCATGGACGTTTGGAGGACTGACTTTGTGATTATTATTATTACTTGTAGGCTGTGGAGAAACAGGAATGTGTTTCAGTTCAGTGGGTGTTAAGTGTGTGTATCTGTAATTTAGCATTGAAGTTGCTCATTGTGTGACTTCACAGTAGGGTCATCTCTTAGGTTGTCTTTGTGTTTTTTTTTAATTAAAAGTATTTTTATTATCTTTAAGTAGTTGTACAAAGGAGTTTCAATTCATCATGTCAGTTTATGAGTCCAATGCATCTTGATCAACATTACCGCTTCGTTGCTTTTAGTTTTTACATAAAATATACTTCTTACATGGAATGTTTTACTATGTGCATTATTAGAGTGATTAAATGAGAAGGCCACTAAGATTTATTTAATTAGCTGCAAAGCAATTTTTTAAAAGTAGAATAGGATGAATTTCATGTGGGGAAGTTTTTATAGAGAGTTTACATACTGGGTTTGGGGAGAATTTTGTTTTCGATGTCCATTAAACATTAGCAAACTGGTGGTTTTTTAAAAAAATAAGATTAACATTGTAGTATGTTATAGAAATAAATGTGTTCTATAAAAATGACCTCGAAGTATGTTCTAACTGTGAAAAAAATCAAAGGCTTGGAGCTATGTGTAACCTCTATGTGCAATAAAGAAAACTGAAGTAAGTCCCTAAGTGCATCTTTCCCTAGCCTTTTGCTTAATGTTTGCCTGTCTACATGTTTAGATTGTTATTATAAAGCTAGCTACATGTTTTCCTGCCCTTTACTGGTATCTAACACATTTTTCTCAAAGCTTTTTTTTTATAAAACTCAAAATAAAATTATTAACTGGCTGAGCTCATCTTGTTTTGTAATTTGAATGTATTGTCTCCTCTAAAAGGGCCCCCTGTGATCCTACTCCTTGTCTCTTTCTTTCTCTCACTAAGAAGTTACTTCTTTTCTGGATATAAGCT